TAAGACTTAAAATTTTTTGAGGTTTATTTATTTTGAGAGAGAGAGAGAGAGAGAGAGAGAGAGGCCCACGAACCATGATATCATGACCTGAGCCGAAGTCGGACCCTTAATAGATGGAGCCACCCAGGCGCCCCTATATATAAGATTTTTAAGGCATCTGGGGCACCTGGGTGGCTTAGTCGGTTAAGCGTCCGACTTTCCCTTAGGTCATGATCTCACGGTTCGTGGGTTCCAGCCCTGAGTCGGGCTCTGTGTTGACTCCCAGCTCAGAGCCCGGAGCCTGTTTCAGAGTCTGTGTCTCCCTCTCTCTCTGACCCTCCCCTGCTCATGCTGTCTCTCTCTCTCTCCTAGAAATAAATAAAAATATTTATAAAAAAAAAGATTTTTAAGGCATCTGAAGCATGAGTTTATTGCTGAGATGGACTGGATTAAATAGTGGCCCTCCTAAAAAGGTGTGTCCAGATCCTAACATGCAGAATCTGTGAATGCAAACTTTTTTTTTTTTTTTGGATTAAAGGTCTTTGTAGATGCAATGAACGTATGCATTTTGAGATGAGCTCATCCCGGATCAGGGCGGCCCTGAATCCAATGACAGGTGTTCTTGTAACAGAAGAAGGGAGATGCAGTCACAGTGGAGAAGCCTGGATCTCAGACTTCTGGTCTCCAGAGCTGGGGCAGGATAGATTTCTGTTATCTTAAGCCACCCAATTTGTGGTCAATTGCTACTGTCGCCCCAGTGAAGCTAATATATAAGGGGGTTGAGTTTTATTTTCCAGTCAAAAGGTTTATTGCAGGGGCACCTGAGTGGCTTAGTCGGTTAAGAGTCCGACTTTCGCTTAGGTCATGATCTCGCGGTTCGTGGGTTCGGGCCCCGCGTCGGGCTCTGTGCTGACTGCCAGCTCAGAGCCTGGGGCCTGTTTCAGTCTGTGAGTCCCTCTCTCTCTGACCCTCCCCTGCTCACTCTCTCTCTCTCTCTTTCTCTCTCTCCTAGAAATAAATAAAAGAACATAAAAAAATTTTTTGGAAAAAAAAAGGCTTATTCCAGTATAACGGGCAGTACTCCTATTTAATCCTAGCTTTCCACCCTTTGTTGAGATTATAACTGGGTTGATTTCGTCAATCCTTCTATGTCTATGTTGATTCTACAGTTTCCTGGTCAACCTTCTGTTCCGAAATAGTGACCCTTTTCCGAGTGATTGTTTCGAACATCAATGCCTCCGTAGGCAACTTGAGAGCGGAGGAGACACTTCCCTCTGGTCTGGGAAGCCAGGAGAGCACACCTGGTGTGTGACGGCGGTGACGGCTCTGCAGCAGGTCATGACGGGGTACGCAGTGGGTGAGCGGTGGTAGTGGCGTCTACACTGCACTCTCGAGGGCGGGATGGGCTGAAACTGGGTGCCCACTTGTTTAGGGGCTGGACTCCTGAGCTAATGTGGGGGTGGAGGCAGCTCTTCAAGGCACTGTTGGGGTGGAACAGACCCTGTTAAGCCAACCAACACAGAACCATTTGAACTAAGTGATACCTTTGGCCGTGGCACGTGTTTTTCTTAAACAGTTGTTGATTGAAATAATGCATGAGCTCAGGTGACTTTTATGGATCACGCGACCCCAGCAGGGTGGGGAGTGTGGTGGTATCTGCAAGCTGGCTTCTGGGGATGAGGAAAGCCAGCCGGAAAGCAAATCCATGCACCTGCTGAGTGTGTGAGGAGTGATTTCTCGGACAAGTGTGGCCGCGAAGGTCAATGTTTTCCCTCCAGACTCTCATGTCGGCCATAAACAAAAGTGGTAGTTTGGGGAACGATCTACTTCTGGTCAAGCACGAGTAGGGGAGAGAGCAGACATTGGGACTGTAGCAGAGCTTGGTTAGTTTTGTCTGCGTTGAGTTCATAAATGGAATATCTTTGTGGAGGGACGTTTCCTTCATTCTAATGACAATTGCCCAAGGGAAATGGCAAGAAAGAGCCATTAAACAAATCATCTGAAGAAGTCAGAGGTCCATCGCAAGAAGAGACATTTATGACAGCCGTGTTCCCAGGACACCACGTTCTTTCCAAAATACACCCCTTGGGAGAGCAAGCTGCCATCTGGGGTGTCCTGAGGAGCCAGCATCACTCCGTCATCCGATGGGTCCTGGGGGGGTGATGCCAGAACTTTGTGTCACTGTGTTAACGTGCTGTGGCTATATGTTCAGAGCTCTAGGGCCCTGTGGCCAGAGAACGAATGCCTCTTAAAATGACAAGGTCCTTCTAAGACTTTCCAGGTTGATGATCTAGGAGAAAGAGAAAGTGTAACAAAGGTAAGTGACTGCTCAGCCCCACGAGATGTACCTTGGCCCCACGGTCAGTAATCTGTCTTGTTGCTACACCAAACTTGTAGAATGTAATTTGTATTGGTTGGGATTTAATTAATGTCCTGGTTGTGTGAATATGATAGAAATTTTATATATGTGATTTATGAATATATAATAGGTAGATATATATACATAGATGGATAGATATAGATTGAGGCATACACAGATGGATAGATGTTAGATACATGGGTGCATAGATGTAGATAGATAAATAGATGGATAGGTACATGGATAGATACATATATACAGAGATGGGTAGATAGATATACACATAGACAGATATTGATAGATAATAGATAGCCGGATGGATGGATGGATGGATAGATAGATAGATAGATAGATAGATAGATAGATAGATAGATAGAATGGATGGATGAATGGACAGGTGGACAGATGGATGGATGTGTGGATGGATGGATGCATGGATGCATGGATGCATGGATGATGGATAGATAGATAGATAGGATGGATGGATGAATGGATAGAAAGACAGATAGAGAGATATGATAGATGGATGGATGATAGATATACGATGGATAGATAGATATCTATCTATATAGATAGATATAGATGATACATAGACATATATGATGGATGGATGATAGATAATGGACTAGATAGATATATGGATGTATGGATGATGGATGGATGGATGGATGGATAGATGATGGATGAATAGAGAGAGAGAGATAGATGAACAGATGGATATATAGATGGATGGATGGATCGATGGATGGTGGATGGATGGATGGATGGATGGATAGAGATTATAGATATATGATAGATAGATAGATATAGGGATGGATGGATGATACATAGATACACAGATACATAGATAGATATAATGGATAGATGATAGGTAATAGAATAGATAGATATAAGGATGTATGGATGATGGATGGATAGATTATGGATGAGTATAGAGATAGATTGATAGATTTAGGGATGGATGGATGGATGATAGATAGGTAGGTAGGTAGATAGATAGAACATAATGATAAAATGTACCTACGTGAAAACACAGTTAAGAAAAAAAGAACATGAGTTTTTCCACCCTATAACCCTGAGGCAAAGGAATTATGCTAATAAAAAAAGCAAAACAATGGCAAAAACAACATTTTCATCTGGAATCGCTCTTCCAGCAAAAGACAATGAGGCACAAGCAGAATAGCAAACACTTCTGGCTGCATTAGCACAGGCGGTATAATAGGGGTTGTTACAAGGAGAGGAGAATCAACATTAGGCGTTTTAATCAATTATTAGTAGGCACGGAGCTCTGCCACATTTGGGAGGGTTGAATGTAGTCGCAATTTCTTGGTTTTTATTTTTATTTTGTTTTATGGTTGACCATCCCCTTTCCATGTGATGGAATGCAACTCACGACGTGTCTTTATGAAGCAGAATCTTGGGCTCTCTGCTACCCAGGAATGAGGCAGGCTGCATGGACCTGCTTGCTGCCTGGGTTCAGAACCACGGAAACGCTGGAGTTTGCTGATGCACCATTTGAGAGTTGGCCACCGTGCTTTCCCTGGTCACCCAGAAGGACACAGCCAGACCTCCGCCGTGACCATAAGCGAGCTGCAGCTGGCCGGGCCAAAGGTACGGGGTCGCCTCACAGAAACGAGTCTGTCTGTTGGCACTTGGCTGCATGGGGAGGGTGGGAAAGGCAATGTGAACGGCCAACTCCCTGCTGCTCAGCAAGTCGTCCGATGCCCGCAGGACGAGGAGGCCAGCAACCGCCCAGGATTCTCAAAAGCTATTTGCACATGGCTTTCCCTTCCCAGAGCGCACACCAGGCATTTCCATCGCAAGTCAAGCCCCTAATGAATTCCGTGCACGATGGCTTAGACTGAAGGGCGCTCTGAGCTGTTGGAGGGGCTCGTGAGACCATTGTCCTGAGCTTACGGCAGGGACAATGAGGACCGCGTATTTATTGAGTGCCACTCACCGCACTGAGCAGCTGACGGCTCAGTGGCACGGTGTGTCAGATGGTTATCGGCCGGAGGGGGCGGGAACTGGGGCAACCAGATTTGTTTTCTGTATTTATGAGTCCATGTTGGTTCCTCTGTATCATTTTTTTAGATTCCACATATAAGCGAAATCATACGGCGCCTGTCTTCCTCTGTCGGACATATTTCACTTAGCATAACACCCTGTGGGTTCCTTAAAAAATTAAAACTATGAATCCCATACCATCTAGTTATTCCACACCAGGGTATTTACTTCCTCTCCCCAAATGAAAACAATAATTCAAAAGGATATATGCACCCCTATGATTTTTTTTTTTTTGCACCAGTTTTTACAATAGTCAAGATATGTAAGCAGCCCTAGGGTCCATCAATGGGTGAATAGATAAAGAAGATATGTGTGTGTGTATATATATATATATAGTAAAACCTTGGGTTGTGAGTCACTTGTTTTGCGAGGGTTCCGATAGATGAGCAAACGTTTCTAACAAATTTTAACTTGGGGCTCCTGGGGGCAGGGGGCTCACTCGGTTGAGCGTCAGACTTCAGCTCAGGTCATGGTCTCGCAGTCCGTGAGTTCGAGCCCCGCGTCGGGCTCTGTGGGGACAGCTCAGAGCCTGCAGCCTGCTTTGGATTCTGTTGTCTCTCTGTCTCTCTCTTCCCCTCTCCCGCTCACCGTCAGTCTCTCTCTTTCAAAAAAAAAAAAAAAATTAAAAGAAAACTTTAACTTGGTAAATGGCCGACATCTTGCGATGTGAGTAGCACATGACGCCGAATGTCACACAATCACAACGGGCCAATGGTTCTTGAAATTCGTTTTGATGTACGAATGCTTTGGAGTACAAGCATGATCCAGAATGAATTATCCTTGGAAACGGAGGCTTTACTGTATATTGAAGAGAAACGTTATTTGCTCTTCTTCAGGGCATTCTCCCTCTGCGGAGTTAGCTAAGCATCACCTTCTCAAGGCCATCGAGGGAGGGTGTGGTGGTGGCTGAATCGGTAAAGATGATGTAGAAGGCCCATACAAAGGAACACAATTCTTTCTTAAAAAGAAGGCAATGCTGCCTTCTGAGACAACACGGGTGGACCTTGAGGGCATTACGCTGAGAGGTAAGCCAGGCAGAGGAGGGCAAATATTGTAACTTCTCAGCTGTATATGGAACGTGAAGCAAAGTTAAACTCATAGAAGCCGAGGGCACGGTGCCGATCGCAAGGGGCTGCGTTGTGAGCTGGGGGCGACCTTGGGCAGCGACAGAAATGTTCATCGATCGGTTGAAGAAGCCCTGGGGACTTACTCTAACGCACAGCAAGGCAATTACACTTCATGATAGTGTCGTGCATACGGGAATTTGCTGAGAAAGTAGACCTCGAGTGGGCACGCCCAACACACACAGAGAAGTGTGAGGTGATGCGCGTGCTAATTCACTGCGTTGTGGTGCTCATTTCACCATCTACCTGTATCGAATCATCACATGCACGCCTTATGAACATACCACCCGACAGACCCTCTGGTCCCCTCCCCACAACTCACACCCCAGGGACGCTGGCTTTTAAAGAAAGGTTGAATCCTTCCAATGGCCAACTGTGCTATGTTCACACGGGCCACTTCAGGGCTCTGTACACTCAGGACGGATTCTTCGGAGAGGTCGTTAGGGCGAAAACCAGCGACGTTCAGAAAGGCAGTGACACGGTCTGCGGTGTGATTTTCAAAGGTAGCCCGGTGAGCTGTGTGGAAGGGTTAAGTGTCAAAGGGTCACTATTAGGCAACACATGTGACTCTGACTGGGGAGATTGTGGTATGGGCCAACCCTCAATTTTTAGAAAAAAATCTAGTTTTTTCTTGTGGCCATTTCCTCATACCATAAACATAATGTTTTAAGGTTTTTTTTTTTTTTAAATGATTATTTATTTTTGAGAGACGGAGAGAGACAGAGTGAGGGTGGAGGAGAGGTAGAGAGACAGGCAGGCTTGAAAGCATGAACCGTGAGATCATGACCTGAGCCAAAGTCAGATGCTTAACAGACTGAGCCACCCAGGTGCCCCCATAAACATAACTTCTTAAACCATATAATTCCGTGGCATATAACATACACAATGTCCTCAAAGACAGTAGTACCTCTCTCTAGCCTCTCCGTACACTTATCGCCCCAAAAGGAGACCCCGTACCTGTTAGGCTGGGGTACACATCAATTAGAAAAAATGCAGTTGCCAACATTTTGAACGCCGGTTCACAATCATTTTGGAAAAACAGAGTCCGATTGATTGACCTTAAAATGGGCCGGGTGTACCCCATGTTCACGGTCATGTAAGAATACCTCGTTCTAGGGCTTGATGGCATATCACACCCACTAGATGGCACCAAACACTCACATTTCCCCACTGAAGTCAGATCCGGATTCTTTTGGCGTTTGTAGGGTTTTCTGATCTTGCACCTTGTGTGAGGCTTACCTGGCGGGTGGTAAGATGTGAGCGGAGAGGGTTTGTAATGGAAGCTGTACTTGGCTCAAGGACCCATCTATCCAATATTGATCCTCTGGGCAAAGGTCCCAGAGATGAGCTTAGATTAGAAGAATAAAGTGTCTGTGTTACCTCCAGGTGAGAGGAACCGAGAACCGAGGGGTGAGTGAGGCTGGCAAGGTCGTCTGCTGAGGACAGTGCCCCCCAGGGGGAAAGACAGAGGTGCCTGCAAAGGAGCAGAGGTGCCCAGGCGGGAGGAGAGAGCCATTCTCTTCAATGTTTTCGTGATGGTTATTTGTTGCTAGGATTGTTTACCAGTTACCTGTCCGGGCTAGTTCACCTGAGAGCGCAGGGTGCCGGGGGAGGAATCCTTGTCCGGACACTTTTTCCCTCGTTTTTTTTGTTGTTTTTTTTTTTCTTTCATGGTTAAATATTCAGTAGCAAAGTTTCTGGACCCCATGCATACTGTTTGTTTGTTTTTTTTAATGTTTTATTTATTTCTGAGAAAGAGTGAGATCATGACTCCAGCACAGAGCCCGACACGGGACTCGAACCCATGAACCATGTGCCGTGAGATCATGATCAGATGCCATTTTCCTTATTTTCCTTCTGCTTTGGAGACCCATTCTTTCCCCCTCAACGTTCATTACCCAGAAGTATCTACTTGAATTATTCTGAATAAATGATTTCCGTGGTTTTTTTTTTTTTCCTTTCTTCTTGCACAGATATGTTGAGATGAGGTCTAAGCTAGGTGATAGAATCTTTTCTGAATTCCTAGAAACTCTGAAGCTGGAAAAAGGGGTTTTATTTTTAATTCATTTCAAAAAACTCAGGTCCCAAGAATATGAGCTTTTTTTTGGAATTTGCAAACACATTGTAAAGATGAAGTTATATATAAATGAGTTGCATATAAGCAAGAGATATATATGAATAACCCAGATATAAGGATTACATAAAATATCTGCAGAGAAAAACGCCTCAAGAAGTCAACACCAGAAAAAAAAATAACGCTACAGAATCCCAAAATAGTTGTTAAGCACGCACACACACACACACACACACAAGAATGACAAATGTTTGATCAATGATTAACTTTTCTTTTTGCAGCCCATATACCTGGCTTTTGTTTGCACCGCGCTAATTTAGATGGCTGGATTTATGTAACATCAAAATGAATGAGTACAGGCACTTGGCTGGCTAAATTCATTAAGTGTCTGACTTCAGCTTAGGTCGCAATCTCATGGTTTGTGAGTTCGAGCCCCGTGTTGGGCTCTGTGCTGACAGCTCAAAGCCTAGAGCCTGCTTCGGATTCTCTCTGCCACTCACAGTCTGTAACTCAAAAATGAATAAATGTTAATAAATAAATACATAAATGTATGCATGAGAAGGAAAATCAGGCATTATCTATTGTCTCTAACAATATTTGGATATTTTACCAAAAGAAAGGAACCATTTGTTATATAGTCCTATAGAATCAAAGGACACTCAATTTATCTTTGGATTTAAAGAGCACTCAAAGACATTTATTTATTTATTTATTTATTTTTAACTTTTTTAATGTTTATTTATTTTAGAGAGAGACACACACACACACATACACACACACACACACAGAGTGCAAGCAGGGGAGGGACAGAGAGAGAGAGGGAGACACAGACTCTAAGGCAGGCCCCAGGCTCTGAGCTGTCAGCAGAGTCCGAGAAGGGGCTTGAAGCCTCAAACTGCGAAATTATGACCTGAGCTGAAGTCAGATGCTTAAAGGACTGAGCCACCCAGGCGCCCTGAGCATTCAAAGACATTTAGATGAGGGACATCAATACAAAGCCTTAATATTTTCTCATTGTCCTACTTTTTTGTTGAAGCATGTCAAAAATTCCACTATATTCACCATTCAAAAAAAGAAAACCCTTACTACACAAAAATTAAATCCAGTGTTCCCTTAGAGAGGGGTCCTTCTTTGCTTTAAAGATCTGTTTCCCTCATTATAGGATCAGATGTCAGAAAATTCCCCATAGCATTGTCTTTGGACTGTAATGTTCTTGTGTTTGCTGCTAGGAATATTTTTCCTAGGGAATGGATCATTATAGAGCAATAATTAGACTGTTTCCCACTATTTACTTTGAGGACCCCGTTTATTTATGTTTATTTATTCACTAGCGGTCCATCTGTGGCATGAGATGGAGCCAAAAAGACCATCATTTAAGCACGTGGAGAATATTTTGCAATCTGAAGAGTCCACGCTAAATGATTTATGATTTGAGGGAGAAAGTCCAACGCTATAAATCATTCCTCGTGAAATCAAAAACCGGTTGTCTCATGAAAATCATGGAGAGTTTCGTAAAACTCCTACACTTTCGAGGAGTTCATTTTGTCTCCTTTCTTGATTAGCGAGAGACATCCATGCACCAAAGACTTCTCGAAGCACATCTCGTTCTCTGAGTAGAATGGGGAGAGTTTCATCGTATCAACGAGGCAGATGCCCTTCCCCTGAGGTTCGGAACGCAGAAGAGGGTAGAAAGATAGGATTGATTCTACATGATGGATGACCTTGCGCCTGGCACTTACAAGAAGCCCCAGTCGCCTGAATGCTGACTTTGCAATCACATCCATCAACACTGAATGTTTCACGGAAACACAATAGCCACAGGCTCCTTTTTTTTGGTTCTTAAAAATTTCCACTTGAGCAACTATCCATCAAAGAGGAAGAAGAAAAAATGGAGACACTTCCTTTTCCTGAAATGAGAATGTCATTACGTAAAAGATAAATACGATTTGGAGAAAAGCCCAACGGATGGTGCTTTTAGGCGCATGGAAGGTAGAGCGATGGCATCTGCTACAGAGGGGACACAGGGTGTGATCTTTTCAACACGGCCGCTGTCCGTGTATAGACCGATGGTAGAAAGAGCTGAGGGAAAACAATTTCCTGGGAAGCTGAATTTATGGGTTTAAAGTGAGGCCCAACCCTTTGGGTTCCAGCTGTGATTCGAAACCTGGAGATGGTGTTCGTAGGCCAGTTCATCGGGCTCCAGAAATGGGTCAACGTTCAGGATTCAAAGCATGTTTTACCTAAGCAAATCTTGACAAGAAGAGAATAGTACAGAGGTGGCGATGGGGAAGCTAATTATACTGTGTGCTGAGACTGAATTTCTGAACATTTGAAATCAATGGAAAGTTACGAAACCACATTGGTGAGAAGAACCTCTTCTCACGAAACCCGTGGTCTATCCCTTAGGGTGGTTCCCACACTCCTATGTGGAAGTTGACAAGCGCATAGTCATGATTAGATCCTCGTGCATAATTCAAAGACGTAGAATTCAGGATTCTGATCTTCCTTGAGACGGGACTGTCCTGCACGTCGCTAACTCAGGTAAAGATCGAAATGAAAAAATTCCAAATATGGTTTCCTACTGAACACAGAGTGCTTTCACAGCACCATAAAGTAAAAACAAAAACAAAAACAAAACCTCTAAGTGGGAGCATCCTAAGTCGAGAACTGCCTGTATCTGAAGACCAAAGTTTGCCTCAGCTTAGTTTCCAATGCCGTTCAGTCAACGGGAATTTCTGTTCCAGAGATTCCTGAATGTCCGATGTTGGCCGCCATGAAGATGGGAGGAGAATTTGTTAGACCCAGACCCTCATTGTTTTAGAGCTTCTGTCCTTTTCCTGAGCATCTGAAGTTGATATCTACTAACCACAACGATGGAAATTGTGTGCCCTTAATGGGACTCCAGGACCCAGGGATCCCGTTTTGTGGTGCAGGTTGGACCTGAGCGATAGCATCACCTCCAGGGCCAGAGAGCCTAATAGGAGTGGGAATTCTCAGGTCCTGCCCCTCACCGACTGAATCCGAATCTATATTTGCCTGTGAGGGTCATTTCATCTCTCTGGGACTTCAATTCCCCAAATATTCTCCTGCTGTCATAATCTATTCAAGGGTCTACACATGGCCTCCTGGAAAATGGGATGGAAGAAGTCGATATGAATGGTTTTGCCACGCGGTGACTCGGGAGATGGGTAGCCTTTCCAAAGGCACCAATGGACCTTTATTTGTGTTTCTCTGTGTGGATTTGGGCAACAGAGCTGAGCCGCAAGCGTTCTCTTTGATGAATGGGTTCAGGAGATGACGTTAGCTCAGACTTCCTTCTCTGTTGTTTTGACTATTTTGGAGGAATATGGCAAATATATTTTATTAAGATGTTATTAAGATACACTCTAGGCCATTGGATGTTAAATTATTTTGTTCTCAACCTACCTTCAGTACAAGGAAACACTTGATGTAACTCGGTTGATGTTGCAGATATAAATTCTACTCAGAAGACAGTATAATAAATTCTTATTAAATTATTATTAGTACTGACATTCTTAGCCAAAACTAATGGGTTGGAGTCAATAAATAGTCCATCTTTTATTTCTAAGTATTCTATTAGATATTAATTATTTTATTAAGTAGTTTTTAGGCATTCATAACTATTAAATAGTGTGAAGTATTAAGCATTTTCAAAGCATTCGACTTTCAAAATATCTTTAAACAGGAAAATTGGAAGTCGCACACTATGTCACCACTGATTTAGGTTTGTCCTGTTTTCATTAATTTTGTATACGTGCATGTTTATAAAAAGCTGATATTCTGAACATTTCCAAAAACCACAGTTAGAGGAAGGCTCGTTTTAGTTTCGTTGAGGACATGTCTCGATTTTCCTTCCAAACCCACACACACCCGTGAAATGGCCAAGTGGAGTGTGGGACATTGATGTGAAGGCTGCTGACCACAACAATGGTTTATGGCTTTTATGTCCTCAGTCACTGTGGTTTTATAATGCTGGTAAAACTTACCCAACAGAGAAAAATAAGATTGTGTGGAGGAGTCTATTTCCCTGCACAGAAATCGGTTCTGCCACCCAGCACAAAATAGGAAGAACAGAAGTCAATGAGTGCGATGTTCAGACCTCGAATTAGCATTCCGTGCTCTTTGGTGAAGTTGTCGTCTATACAGCTTTGGCAACATAAGCTCAGTTATTTATTTCTCTAAGGCACCACGAGTCTCTGGTTTTGCAATCACGGGCTGCCTTCAGCTGGTGATTCTTCTGGTCTTGCATAGACCACCTCATGGTGTGGGACTGGTTGCAGAGAGCCAGCTCAGATTCAAGGCCGGGCAAGGGCATTCCACCTCTCAACGTAGGGGCATCAAGTCCTCCAGCAGAGGGTGTGGACAGAGAGGGATGTCGCTTGTGGTCCCTTTGCAACAAAACCACCACGTAGGAAC